GCTGATGGTGGCATCAGGAGCATAAAGTGTGTGAGCCAGGTGCTAGGCTGCAGATGGATGCTATGCCATGGAAGAAAGGGTCAGTTAGAGGGAAGAGGAAGATCAGAAAGAGGACTGCACCAAGCAGCGCTGTGGGTACTCCAGGGCTGAGCCGATGGGAGGGAGGAGTGGCACAGCACTGGGCCCACCAAATGGCCTGAAGAGAGAGACCAAAAACACACCAAAATGGACCAATGTAACAGTGTGACAGAGAGGGAAAACAGGGGTATAGACATTCTGATTCAAATTCAAAGAAGTCCTATGTTCAAGAGTTTTAGTAGCTATGGTCACTGGCCAGTCACCAAACATTCAGTATGAAAGGTAAAGGTATATATACAGTTGAAGTCGGAAGTTTACATACACCTTAGCCAAATACATTTAAACTCTGTTTTTCACAATTCCTGACATTTAATCCAAGTAAAAAATTCCTGTCTTAGGTCAGTTAGGATCACCACTTTATTTTAAGAATGTGAAATGTCAGAATAATAGTAGTATTTATTTCAGCTTTTATTTCTTTCAACACATTCCCAGTGGGTCAGAAGTTTACATACACTCAATTAGTATTTGGTAGCATTGCCTTTAAATTGTTTAACTTGGGTCAAACGTTTCGGGTACAAAAAGTTGGGTGAATTTTGGCCCATTCCTCCTGACAGAGATGGTGTAACTGAGTCAGGTTTGTAGGCCTCCTTGCTCGCACACACTTTTTCAGTTCTGCCCACAAATTGTCTATAGGATTGAGGTCAGGGCTTTGTGATGGCCACTCCAATACCTTGACTTTGTTGTCCTTAAGCCATTTTGCCACAACTTTGGAAGTATGCTTGGGGTCATTGTCCATTTGGAAGACTTCCTGACTGATGTCTTGAGATGTTGCTTCAATATATCCACATAATTTTCCTTCCTCATGATGCCATCTATTTTGTGAAGTGCACCAGTCCCTCCTGCAGCAAAGCACCCCCACAGCATGATGCTGCCACCCCCGTGCTTCACGGTTGGGATGGTGTTCTTCGGCTTGCAAGGCACCCACTTTTTCCTTCAAACATAGCGATGGTCATTATGGGCAAACAGTTCTATTTTTGTTTCATCAGACCAGAGGACATTTCTCCAAAAAGTACGATATTTGTCCCCATGTGTAGTTGCAAACCGTAATCTGGCTTTTTTATGGCGGTTTTGGAGCAGTGGCTTCTTCCTTGCTGAGTGGCCTTTCAGGTTATGTCGATATAGGACTCATTTTACTGTGGAAATAGATACTTTTGTACCTTTGTCCTCCAGCATCTTCATTTTAGTCATTTAGCAGATGCTCTTATCCAGAGCGACTTACAGTTAGTGAGTGCATTTTTTTTTTCTTTCTCCATACTGGCCCCCCGTGGGAATCAAACCCACAACCCTGGCGTTGCAAGCGTACACAAGGTCCTTTGCTGTTGTTCTGGGATTGATTTGCACTTTTCGCACCAAAGTACGTTAACCTCTAGGAGACAGAACGCGTCTCCTTCCTGAGTGGTATGACGGCTGCATGGTCCCATGGTGTTTATACTTGCGTACTATTGTTTGTACAGATGAACGTGGTACCTTTAGGCGTGTGGAAATTGCTCCCAAGGATGAACCAGACTGAATTTTTTTTCTGAGGTCTTGGCTGATTTCTTTTGATTTTCCCATGATGTCAAGCAAAGAGGCACACACACACACTCACCTGTCCTGATGAATATGAAGGCTGTGTAGACACAAGATTTCAAGCTTAAATGAAGGGGTGGGGTATATCTGTATGTTGAAGTGTATGCGTGTATTACACGTGTCTGGTTTCAAGGCTTCTGTAACTGTATGCCTCACGTGCAGAGAGCAGGATTACTGCCAGAGTGTCTTCTCTGAGGTGCAGCTGTTCAATAACATGGTGGAAACGGGCTGCAATGGTTGATGGGAGACAGAGATGCCTACAGTAATAATGGTGGAAATGGGCTGCAACGGTCGATGGGAGACAGAGATGGCCACAGTAATAATGGTGGAAATGGGCTGCAACGGTTGATGGGAGACAGAGATGGCCACAGTAATAATGGTGGAAATGGGCTGCAACGGTTGATGGGAGACAGAGATGGCCACAGTAATAATGGTGGAAATGGGCTGCAACGGTTGATGGGAGACAGAGATGGCCACAGTAATAATGGTGGAAATGGGCTGCAACGGTTGATGGGAGACAGAGATGGCCACAGTAATAATGGTGGAAATGGGCTGCAGTGGTTGATGGGAGACAGAGATGGCCACAGTAATAATGGTGGAAATGTCAAGCAGTCTACTAATGTCTATAAGCTGCATTGTTCTACCCACGCCAAAGAAGAGAGGAGCGATGAAGATGGCAGTGGTGGGTCCAGTGTAGGGCACTAGCATGGGCATCATACAGGCCCGGAACACCAGTTCCTCAGTCAGTGGTTCCACCACCTGGTTCCTCAGCCACACCAGGTCCCCCCCACACACCATCCAGGACCTGGGGGTCTACAGCAGGGTGAGTATCGTGATGGGTACAACAAACACATGCACTCATGCTCATGTCAACACCCACCCACACTGCACAGACCCACTAACACCAGACCATCTCTGGAGAACGTACCCACCAACAGAACACCACACAACAGGAGCATGCTAACAGACATTTTGACACGTATACATGCTTGATCAAACTCACCAAGGCCTGATTTAATTTCTGTGGGTTATCCATAGCTGTCTGGGTCAGGGGACCAAGAAGAAGACATTTAGAATTGAACTTGAGGGATCAAAATGCAGTTGAGAATTGCATAGGCTACAGCAGATCCTACTGTACCATTAAATATCACCCTGAATAATGTTTTATATATTTATATTTTAGTAATTTAGCAGACGCTCTTATCCAGAGCGACTTACAGGAGCAATTAGGGTTAAGTGCCTTGCTCAAGGGCACATCGACAGATTTTTCACCTAGTCAGCTCAGGGATTAGAACCAGCAACCTTTTGGGTACTGGCACAACGCTCTTAACCACTAAGCTACCTGCCAACATTTAGAATGTTGTAAAATGGCATGGTTTCATACTTTCATAGTGTGGGAAGTACAATATAAAACATGCTCACTGCTATGGTGAGGATGGGCTCTTCCTGGGGCTTACATCTATACGCCTACATTATAACAAATATATACGATTTAGCTAAATGCATATAGAGGAAACACTGACTACTACACAATATTACACTATGGACAGACAACTGTGACCCAGTACACACAGGTACCAGTTGGTACTGTAGCTTGCTACGCAATATACAGGTAGATGCCATAATAAAGGAAACACCAACATAAAGTGTCTTAATAAGGCGTTGGGCCACCACGAGCCAGAACAGCTTCAGCCTTGGCATAGATTCTACAAGTGTCTGGAACTCTATTGGAGGGATGCGACTTTCTTCCACGAGAAATTCCACCATTTGGTGTTTTGTTGATGGTGGTGGAAAACGCTGTCTCAGGCGCCGCTCCATAATCTCCCATTAGTGTTCAATTGGGTTGAGATCCGGTGACTGAGACACACACAGACACACACTTTAAACCCCCTATACTCCTTTGAGACCCCCCTTTCAAAGTAACTGAGACATCTTCTTCTAGCCATCTTAGCCAAAATAATGGACAACTGGGCATTTTTATACATGACCCTAAGCAGGATGGGATGTTAACTGCTTAATTAACTCAGGAACCACACCTATGTGGAAGCACCTGCTTTCAATATACTTTGTATCCCTCATTTACTCAAGTGTTTCCTTTATTTTGGCAGTTACTTGTATATAAGCTCCCAATGTAAGAACAGGCTAGAAGTAAACAGGACATAATGGACACCCTGCACACTCTATCCAGCATCAACAAACTATCATAACATTATCATCCTTGTGGCATACGTGTGTTGAGATTATGCTGTTTTTAAGTCATCCCCTGACATGAGATGGGGATGACCTACGAGAGCTAGGTGAATAACAAGAGCATGCACATGGGTTATTTCAGTCAATTCTCTTATGTCAGATGCTGTAAAACTCAAGCGGATTATCAGAAGCCTATAATAGCATAAGATGAGCTACTGTCCAGGTACTGTTTCTGTGCTGACTGACCTCTACTGGTCATTACAGGTATCACATAAATCTGAAATATGTACAAAACAGATACACAATGAACACACAATAATGGCAACTATAACAATATACTTTATTACTATGGACTCCCAATATCTTCTGGGCATTAAGAGCATGTTACATTGTCCACAGTAAAGAAGAAATAACCATCATCCTCACAATCTTTCCATTATATCCCTCCCCTGACCAAAAGATTGAATTAGGGAATAGAAATTAACTATTTGTCATTTAAAGGGGAAATGTAAACCTGATAGAATATATTAAGGAAGCCTCATCGGTCTGCTAACTATTCAAATGGGACAAATTTCACTAAATTAAAAACCCAGCAACCTTTTCCTGGTGTTTACCATCCAACCGTAAGATACTTCATTATCAAAAAGGCAAGGATATCAATGGTGATGCTTAAAGGAGTGGAATTCTCAGACAGTCATCAGCTCTACAGTATTTACCCAGGGAAGCAAAAGTGTTCCTCTTGTTTGAAATCCCATACTAATTTGAGATGCTGGTGATTTTTCTCTGGGGTCCTTTCTCTCTTTCCCCCGATCATGTCATTAGAATAGACATATCTGCAACTAAAGTTTGAGCAAGCGGTTAAACATGGAAACAATACACTCAAAAGCGAACTGTAGTAGGCTATGTATGTGACATACTCTCCCAAAAATATTTTCTAACAAAAAATCTAAACCTTCATGTAATGCTGGATCATGGTGACTAATGGCATGGTTGAACCAGTACTGAAATAATACATGTTACCTGTTACCTTATCATCAACCAGAGGTTGTCCATTCAGTATTATAGTGAGCATGTAAAGGTCTGATGGTACTGGAACAGAAGCAGTGTGACTTGAGATGAGGTCAAACTAAACGCTAAAGGATTGGACATGCCTGAAAACCCCCATGTTTATAGCCAGCTACCACGCCAGACAGAAAGAACCATATGCCGTTCGCCTTCGGTTTTGCTCTCATTCATCAAACAGCAATAACATACTTATTGATTACACACTTCCTAGATTAGAAAACAGAGAATGAAAACAAACCAAAATCACTGTAATAAAACCACCGTGTAATAATATTATATATTATGATGTATTACATAACAATGATTAAAACAGACATTAAAGATGTGGACACCATGATTGTAGATTTCCATTCTCCATGTTGTCCCCACTTTCTGAACATTGTTTTGATGGAAAGCCTGTTATTTACTTCACCCTTATCTTTCTTCCCAGCAGCAACCCTATTACTACCTATATATAGTCTTTATGTGTATGGGCCCAATGACAACTTACAAATCTGAATCTAAATTCCGCTAGACAGATGATACAAATGGAGCTTGTCTTCACTATTTTTCCTCTGGGGTGTGTCCATAAAGCCTCTGGTTTAACTGTCACAATGATCCTCTTATTTCACCTTCACACCATCAATGATCAGCAGTCATAAAGGATAGTTATATAGTCATCCATAGTTGAAATAACATCCATGATTTCTTTCAACCACTTATGTATGTATGTGTGTGTATGTGTGTGTTTAAACAGCCTGTGCTACAAATAGATACATGTCTGTGTGAGAGACGGAAAGTGCTAGATTAGCTAAAAACATTTTTTATGCCTTGCAATGCCAACCACATTTTTCAATGAAGATGTTTCCAATTCTGTGCATATTGGTGAATAAAAAGAGAGTGTTTGGGGGGAAAAACTACTCCTTGGGCACAAACCCTTCTCACTCACTAAATTATGGGCATAGGTCAAGATGAAAAAAAAAATGTCAGTCAGTTCTTGAAGATCCCACCACCTCCATCACCATAGTTTCCTGTTCTGTCAGCTCCACCCTAATACTGTCACTCTACCCCTGGGCCTCTGGAGGTGAGAGGAGAGGGCAGGGCAGTCCTAACAGCATCCTCCCCCAGACTGCCTTACTGGGGTGCTGTCAATCTTCAGGTTGGGCTTGTCACCTCCTGCCGTGGCCCCGGGCCCCATGCGCTTCTTAATCTCGGCCGCCATGGTCATGAAGGATTGCTCCACGTTGGTTGCGTTCTTAGCACTGGTCTCGAGGAAGGGGATGGATAGGGAGTCAGCAAATTCCTGTTTGAGGAGGGTGAGAGAGGTCAATAACCAGTCTGACTGTGGTAGTAGAGTGCTTCCATTGCAAGTAAAACACAGTGTGTCCTAAGAGTTGATAATTCACCATGTCGACTAGTACAAAGGCTAGAGTATACTTTATACAAATACTGTGGTTAATCTGTATCCGATTCCACATGTTTCCTGTTGACTCACCTTGGCTGTTGTGTAGTCTACAACTTTCTTGGTGGTGAGGTCACACTTGTTACCCACCAGCAGCTTGTTGACATTTTCGCTGGCATAGCGGTCAATTTCCTGCAGCCACTGCTTTATATTGTTGTAAGACTCCTAGAAAAGAGAGAAAATATCTCAGTTACGTGTTGTCAATAAATAAATGTTTAACTCATAGATGTTAATGAATCTTCTTTGTGGTGGGGTGTCACTAACCTGATCTGTTACATCATAAACAATGATGATACCATGGGCTCCTCTGTAATAGCTGGAGGTGATGGTGCGAAACCGCTCCTGACCAGCAGTGTCCCACTACAGACATAAGACAAGAAAAACAATTCGTTAATTAGCTAAAACACTACATGGCTGCAAGCATGAACTGCAATGACACTTTCCGACAGCTGCCAGGAGTGATGGATTCAACTCACAATCTGTAGTTTGATAGTCTTGCCGTCCAATTCAATAGTTCGGATTTTGAAGTCCACGCCGATGGTGCTTATGTAACTTTCCGTGTAGGTGTCATCCTGAAATGCATAATTTAAAAAACATATATATCAACAAACTCGGACAGACACACAGTATCCAAACGTTGATTGAAAGCTGAACACTGATCAACATGCCAATAACACTGATAGTTTTTACCGCAAATCGAAGCAGGAGGCAAGACTTGCCCACCCCTGAATCGCCAATCAGAAGCAGCTTGAACAGGTAGTCACTAGGGGGAAAACCAGGTTAGAGGCAATCAAATAATGGTTAGAGACTAACAAATCTGTTCTATCAAACCGCCAGCATTGACTTTCATTTGTGTCTCAGACGAGTTAGGCCAGTTTATACGCAATGCTGTCATTTCCATCGGAAATTATGTTATTACAGTATAGCTAACTACAGCTGCAAGGATGTGCAATGAAATGTCCAAGAGGAAAACGTGAAAGAGAATGGTGACGAGACCCATATCTCAACTCCAAATGGCTCATCCAACAAACTAGCTAACTAACGTTAGATCAACAATCTTATGCAATTTGATGTCAACATAGCTGTTGCTATGATCATGACAACATTGTAGCTACCATGTAAAACAACCCGATATCACAGCAGATGTTCCGCACAAATAGAGCGTACTAGTATGTAAACAAGTGATGACGCAAGATATTGTTACCCGTTAGAGTTAGCTAGCTACATCTCGTCATCCGCTGTTACTGGATCTGGAGCTATCAAAAACAACTAAATATCACAAACTTTACTCACTATTCAGGATTCATGGTGTGTTCGTAATACGTGTTTTCTCGGCTCTTGTCTGGGTCACACGCGTATCTTCTTGGTAGCTAGCTGCGTTGCTAACGCGTAAGAAGAAAGAATACTTGTTGCTAACGTTAGCTAGCTCGCCAAACCGCGTTTGGCAAACTGTTCTGCAATTTCACGAGCCAAAAGGCTGTGTATAGTTTGTTGGTTAGGTGAGTAAGTGTTCAGCGATTAACCAATTTTGGTAGAATTAGTTTTGTTGATAGATACACATTCCTTTCTTTAGCGTGTTGTTTTCCCCTCTGTCTCCCTTTTTACTCGTCTTCCCTAGTCTTTTGCGCACTGTGTGTCTGTGCGCAGGTGTCAGCGAGTGATGACGTCAAATCGTTGTCCTACACAGGTGGGAAATGTAGTTCAGCCAAAAGCCCTTCTAATCTTATCTGGTTCAGCTGGCTCCGGGGATTCAACTATGGCCTGTACCAGTACACTGACACATTTTCTTACCAAATGAGGCTTATTTATTCATCATGCACAAATGTAATAAATATAAACACAACATGTAAAGCAGTGGTTCCCAACCCTTTTCAGTTACTGTACCACCAACTGTATTTTGCTCTGCCTGCAATACCCCTTAAGTACCTCCTCGTGCATTTTACCAGTAAGCCTATGGTCTCACGAGTATTCTCAAGTACCCCCTATGGATAGGCCAAGTACCCCCAGGGGTCCTAGTACCCCTGGTTGGGAACCACTGATGTAAAGTGTTGGTCCCATGTTTCATGAGCTGAAATAAAAGATCCAAGAAAATTTCCATAAGCACAAAAAGCTTATTTCTCTCTAATTTTGTGCACACATTTGTTTACATCCCTGTTAGTGAGCATTTATCCTTTGATAAGATAATCCATTCACCTGGCATGTGTGGCATATCAAGAAGCTGATTAAACAGCATGATCAATGCACAGTGCTGGGGACAATAAATGGCCACTCTAAAATGTGCAGTTTTGTCACACAACACAATGCCACAAATGTCTCAGGTTTTGAGGCAGCGTGCAATTGGCATGTTGACTGCAGGAATGTCCACCAGAGCTTCTGCCAGAGAATTTAATGTTAATTTCTCTACCATAAGCCGCCTCCAACGTCGTTTTAGAGAATTTGTCAGTACGTCCAACCGGCCTCACAACCAAAGACCACGTGAAACCACGCCAGCCCAGGACCTCCACATTCGGCTTCTTTACCTGCGGGATCGTCTGAGACCAGCCACCCAGACAGCTGATGAAACTGAGGAGTATTTCTGTCTGTAATAAAGCCTTTTTGTGGGGAAAAACTCAGTCTAATTGGCTTGGCCTGGCTCCCCAGTGGGCCTATGCCCTCCCAGGCCCACCCATGGCTGCGTCCCTGCCCAGTCATGTGAAATCCATAGATTAGAGATAATGAATTTATTTAAATTGACTGATTTCCTTATATGAACTGTAACTCAGTAAAATCGTTGAAATTATTGCGTGTTGCGTTTGTATTGTGTTCAGTATAATAGCGCAAGATCATGATAATATAGATATTCCGAAATTACTCCTCATTCACAGAACACAATAACATCTCTCCATGAAGAAAGTGAACAAGTACCACATAAGATATGACAACAAATTAGAGGAAACATATTTAAACAAACTCCCAATTTTCTTTTTAAACGTTTAAAATGTATTATTTATCATTCACTGGTTTAAACAAAACATATCGTGTTCGAATGTCCTTTTTAAAAAGAGGCTGGGACAAAGTAATACTTCATTACATTTTCAGATCTACCAATGGTTAGTAACAAATAATCATCATCATCATCATCATCTATGATAATAGCAATTTGAAACTAAAGGTCTTTGCTAAAAATAAACATTAAAAGAACTGCAGTGCCAGGTAATAATAGAGGACCTACAGTTGAAGTCGGAAGTTTACATACACTTAGGTTGGAGTCATTAAAACTAGTTTTTCAATCACTCCACAAATTTCTTGTTAACAAACTATAGTTTTGGCAAGTCGGTTAGGACATCTACTTTGTGCATGACACAAGTAATTTTTCCAACAATTGTTTACAGACAGATTATTTCACTTATAATTCACTGTATCACAATTCCAGTGGGTCAGAAGTTTACATACACTAAGTTGACTGTGCCTTTAAACAGCTTGGGAAATTCCAGAAAATGATGTCATGGATTTAGAAGCTTCTGATAGGCTAATTGACATCATTTGAGTCAATTGGAGGTGTACCTGTGGATGTATTTCAAGGCCTACCTTCAAACTCATGCCTCTTTGCTTGACATCATGGGAAAATCAAAAGAAATCAGCCAAGACCTCAGAAAAAAAATTGTAGACCTCCACAAGTCTGGTTCATCCTTGGGAGCAATTTCCAAACGCCTGAAGGTACCACATTCACCTGTGCAAACAATAGTACGCAAGTATAAACACCATGGGACCACGCAGCTGTCATACCGCTCAGGAAGGAGACGCGTTCGAAGATGTTGGAGGAAACAGGTACAAAAGTATCTATATCCACAGTAAAACGAGTCCTATATCGACATAACCTGAAAGGCCGCTCCAAAACCGCCATAAATAAGCCAGACTACGGTTTGCAACTGCACATGGGGACAAAGATCGTACTTTTTGGAGAAATGTCCTCTGGTCTGATGAAACAAAAATAGAACTGTTTGCCCATAATGACCATCTTATGTTTGGAGGAAAAAGGGGGTAGCTTGCAAGCCAAAGAACACCATCCCAACCGTGAAGCACGGGGGTGGCAGCAGCATGCTGTGGGGGTGCTTTGTTGCAGGAGGGACTGGTGCACTTCACAAAATAGATGGCATCATGAGGAAGGAAAATTATGTGGATATATTTTTGCAACATCTCAGGACATCAGTCAGGAAGTTAAAGCTTGGTCGCAAATGGGTCTTCCAAATGGGAAATGACCCCAAGCATACTTCCAAAGTTGTGGCAAAATGGCTTAAGGACAACAAAGTCAAGGTATTGGAGTGGCCATCACAAAGCCCTGACCTCAATCCTATAGAAAATGTGTGGGCAGAACTGAAAAAGCGTGTGCGAGCAAGGAGGCCTACAAACCTGACTCAGTTACACCAGCTCTGTCAGGAGGAATGGCCCAAAATTCACCCAACTTATTGTGGGAAGCTTGTGGAAGGCTACCCGAAACGTTTGACCCAAGTTAAACAATTTAAAGGCAATGCTACCAAATACTAATTGAGTGTATGTCAACTTCTGACCCACTGGGAATGTGATGAAATAAATAAAAGCTGAAAGAAATCATTCTCTCTACTATTATTCTGACATTTCACATTCTTAAAATAAAGTGGTGATCCTAACTGACCTAAGACAGGGAAGTTTTACTAGGATTAACATTTACAGTCATTTAGCAGACGCTCTTATCCAGAGCGACTTACAGGAGCAATTAGGGTTAAGTGCCTTGTTCAAGGGCACATCGACAGATTTTTCACCTAGTCGGCTCGGGGATTAGAACCAGCGACCTTTCGGTTACTGACACAACGCTCTTAACCACTAAGCTACCTGCCGCCGATTAAATGCAGGAATTGTGAAAAACTGAGTTAAAATGTATTTGGCTAAGGTGTATGTAAACTTCTGACTTCAACGGTATACTATTATTTACAGGATGGTATGTATTGTCCTGTATGTATTCTCTACAAGTAAAGTTTCACGTTTGTTCATTCTCCTCTTTTTCTTTCATTTCTGGGTAGATTGATTGACTGTTCATGCCACTCGAAATATGACACACACCTAACCCAAACATTTCTCATGCAAATGTCCAAACCATAAATAAAAGTAGGATTGATAACACAATAAAAAATCTTCACCAGAAGTCATCAAGACGTGATACTCTCATAAACTTGAGTCTTTCATCAAACATATGGGTCCAAAGTAAAACCCAGAACGGTCAGACCATTTTGTGTGAAACCACCATACCGTTGTTTTCATAGCCAGTTCCACCAAATTGTCTAATTTAGTTGATTCTCTTATATTGTTGGACCAGATAAGATCAATGAGATATTTACAGATGTGAGTAGGCAATTATGGCCCTTAATTATGGAACCACTTATCTTCATGGTGGTCTAAAAGTATACACACACATCTGTTGGTACAGTGGGCTTTCTGTCTACTGAATGACAGAGTAAGGCATATTGACAGACTGTACTGTAAAGGTCCCCGTTTTTTCAATGAAAAGTTTTTAATGGATGAGGGACCTTCCCAGTACAGGGGGACATTTGTTTCAAGTATCTCCAAAGGGGAAGGCACACAGCTCCAGCACCCCAGGGGACATAATTGGTCCCTAATGACCAGTCCCCAAATCCCAGTTAATGAGAGAAACACTGCTTGACAATCATCCCATCGGTTCAGAGGGCTTTGGATTTGTTGCTGGGGTGGCAGGTTTGCCTAGGAGTGTTTCATATTGTAGGATGTTGAGTGAGTGAGAGCTTGATTTCAAGCAGGGATTGGGGAGGTTTAGTTCTGGATGGGTTGGTATTTGTCATTGTCGTCCCTTCTCTCACTGCAGCACACACTTGTCTTTGTTGCTGAACTTCCTGCGTCTAAGCTCCAGCCCCCGCTCCAGACGCTCATCCTCCTCAACGGCCCTGAGGACACACACATAAACAACCACACAGTACTGCATCATATCAAACATATGGATAAATGCATGTGTAGCACACAGGGACGTGTGAAACTTACTCCTCAGCCTTAAGTGCCCCGCCTGCGTCGCCTCATTAGCTAGCTTTTGAGGTGGCGCGATCGGCTAAGAGGTTCCGAGTTCGCGCCAGATATGGGCCGAATCGGGAGGAAGTGGTACTCGCTAAGCAAGCAGCGTGACGTCCTTTACACATGCTTAGTCTTTCATACTGTATATGCATGGCTGTAACAAACAGATGGGCTAGTCTCACCCTCGTTCTTTGGCATCCATGTCTCTGACCAGCTCGTCCCGCTGGTTGACCAGAGAGACCAGTTCCTGCAGCAGAAGCTCCTCCCGGTGCTGCTGGGCCTTAGTGTTCTGCCACTCTGAAGAGAGGGAGGATGAGGGAAGATAGTCATTAGGTATGCACAACTGTTATAGGTCTACAGTCGTCTCACCGGTTGTGTTCAATGTAAATAAAGGTTGTGCTTATGCATTGGACTAACCTTCATTGGCCATCATGGCTCTGAGTTCTCTATTCAGCAGCTCAAATCGTTTCTCCAAGTCGTGCTCCTCCTGCCTGGGAATACAATACATTCGGTTAGCTGCCCTCTGCTGGGTACACAAACAGAGCATAATATGGCATATATAGTTGGATGGCACATTTCAGGTCAAACCATTTCCTCGTAACATAAACATGTTCCGTATTCTTAAGAAAACTAGATGTGTGAGTGGTCTGGTATGTGTCTTACAGCAGCTCCAGGTGGTCCTGTCTCCTTATTAGGGCGTTCTTCTTGTTGACCAGAGTGAACCACTCCTGGATCAGCTTCTCTTCCTCGTCACGGTCGCTACCTGGAGCGAGGACACAATGTCCACAGTTAAAATGGCACCTTAGAGGTGAGATTTGTTGTACATACTGAGAAAATGAACCCCAGGACCCTGTGGCCTTTGATAAGCACACATAACACTGTTCATGTTAGGTTTAGCACCTTTGGATATCTTTCTAATTCTCACCTGATTCCATCAGTCTTCTGAGTCTCCTCTCCACGATGCCTGCTCTGTTGTCAATGTGCTTTTGTTCACTCTCCAGGGCTTGCAGCTCACTCAGCACATACTGACTGGTGTCCTGCAGACGCTGACCAGGAAGATACAGAGACACACATTGCCAAAATGAAACAGACAACAGACAGATGGGAGGACATACAAGGACAGACACACAGATGAACATAGATAGATGACAGACAGGAGAAGGTCAGGAGATTAGAGGGAGAAACAGGAATAAAGGCAAAGAGAAGACCAGAAAGTAAACATGATACACATTCAGAGTAGTGACGGATAGGTTAAGCCACGGACTAAGAGCCACAGAGGCCTAGCAGTAAAGGAGTAGTGACGGATAGGTTAAGCCACGGACTAAGAGCCACAGAGGCCTAGCAGTAAAGGAGTAGTGACGGATAGGTTAAGCCACGGACTAAGAGCCACAGAGGCCTAGCAGTAAAGGAGTAGTGACGGATAGGTTAAGCCACGGACTAAGAGCCACAGAGGCCTAGCAGTAAAGGAGTAGTGACGGATAGATTAAGCCACGGACTAAGAGCCACAGAGGCCTAGCAGTAAAGGAGTAGTGACGGATAGGTTAAGCCACGGACTAAGAGCCACAGAGGCCTAGCAGTAAAGGAGTAGTGACGGATAGGTTAAGCCACGGACTAAGAGCCACAGAGGCCTAGCAGTAAAGGAGTAGTGACGGATAGGTTAAGCCACGGACTAAGAGCCACAGAGGCCTAGCAGTAAAGGAGTAGTGACGGATAGGTTAAGCCACGGACTAAGAGCCACAGAGGCCTAGCAGTAAAGGAGTAGTGACGGATAGGTTAAGCCACGGACTAAGAGATACAAATGTCAACAGTCAAGTGGATAATAACATGACGTAAAGGTAAAGGTTTGAACTAACCAGAGTATCCTCCTCCTGGCTTGGGACACTGGACTCCTGGACTGGCGCTGTGCTCCTTGTCTCTGCATACAGATCAAACAGTGAGACTGGTAATTAGTATATTTACTGAAAAAGGAAAATCACAGAGAATGCTGCCTTTCATATCATGCTTAAGCATTGTGTCAATTTCTGTTGTCAGCTCCTTCAGTTCAGGTAAAATCTCCTGGTAAACCTCCTACCTGATTCTGAGGAGCCGTTCTTCACCTCTCTGTTTGATACACTTTCAGCTGACTGGACAGGAGACACAAACACAATAGATATTATAGGTGGAGAGAAACATGGCCTGGTGTCAATAGCAAAACATTGACAAATGAATAGAACATCAATCTCTGTTCAAACGCAAGAAAACAGTTTTAAAAGATGGGAAAATGGCTTGGAAGAAAAGATACAGACAGTATTCATGTACCTCTGTGCTGTTGGATGTGCTACTCTGTTGCTCCAGCCCATCCCCTTCATCCATGGACTCACTCTTCAGCCGCAAGCGCCTTTTCTTCACCAGGTCGGCATCTCTCACGTGACCAAATCCTGATTTTGCTGCAGAGGCGTGTGACCTGGGTGGAGGCACGGGGGTCTGTGACCCACCCGCTCCCACTTCCAAACCCCCAGCTCCGCTCCCTTTCTCTTCCCCCTTTGTCAACCGTTTAGTCCGGGGGGGTGGCACTAGGCTCCCATTGGGCTTAGAGGCCTGTTCTGTAGCACTGTCCTCCAGGAAGAAGCTACCTTCCTGTAGCTTGCGGGCACAGAAACGAGCAGCAGCATCCACATCAGAACCCTCACTGGGCTCAGTCACTGCATAGCTGGACTGGCTGCTGTTGTTCTCGATCTGAACCACACTCAGCTCCTGCCCAGTAAAGTGGGTGCGGATCTGACACAGGTAAGTCATGACGATCAGGCGGTCTGGCACAGAGAGCAGCACCATGTCCGAGGGCTCCATCAGACGGGAGATGCCCAGCGCAGCAAAGCCATCAAAGGCCTGAGAGAGAGGGAGGGTTCAGGACAAAAATGATGACTTCTGTGTTCCTAATTGACATTATGTATAATTATTAAAATGTGATAATGTGATGTACAGTAAATATGTTTGATATGCTCATTGACTTTTTCACCTTCTTGTTGTTTGACTTGATATCGTTGGTTTCCAGTGTCTCAAAATCTCTGAAAAGAACACCAGTAGTTAATCTAAGGACATGGATGGAACTTACTGGTACTATTTTGTCAGAACTTCAGCTGTATCCCTGTAAAGAGGTGGAATAATGATACCTTTCTTACATTCAGCTGTCTGGGTTGACTTCAAGTACATGCATGGACTCATAATAAAGTTGCTTGACTTTTCAGATTCAGACTAGGATGGAACATTGCGGGTGGGATTGAACTGATTAGTGATGAAGTGCTTACATCTTGTCAGGATGGAAGTGGTGCAGGATGGCACAGAAAGCCAGGCCATTACGCCAGGAGGTGTTAAAGTTGGTGACCTTCACTCCCTTATACCCCTTCGTAACCTCCTGGCACCACTCCAGCAAAGACTTGCTGGAGGTGACCAGCCCAGGACTGGGCAGTGGACCTGACATCTGAGGAGAGTGTGAAAGAGAGGAACAGAGGGAGAGAGACCTGTTATAGCTACTGACATTCCCATTGACATATTCAGCTGTGTTTGAAATATAATGAACTGTTGATACTTCTTATAAAAAATAAATATGAGAATCAAATGTACCTCCTGGCTGAGGACTAATACATCCTTCCTATAGGCTGTATCCTTGTCCGCCGTGGTAGTGGAGGGCCCTGGGGCAACTTCCTGAAGGAACACAGGAGAGGGAAGGGTTTTCTTCTTGCTGCGTCGGGGAGGTACAATGGTATCTGACGCTTGACCAGAGGTGACCTCCTTATCTGCTGGGGTCTGTCCATTGGACTGTGGCTCTTCACTGCCTGGACTAGTGGCTGGGGGCTGGTCGTTCCCCTGGGTTGTGGTGTCTGGTGCGGATGATTGAGCGGCTTTCTTAGAGCATCTCGTTGGGACAGCCAGGTCACTGGACTTCTTTTCCCCCTCAGCCGTCTCAGATCTATAGGGACAGAAATGGTCGAGATAAGATGATGGGACAGCCAAGTAAAGTTAGCTGATATGTATAATTTCTGATTTAGTTTCAGTTATTATATGTCCTGCAGACAAACAAAAACAGTTCACAGTTAAGCACTGATCCAAGTCAATATTATTCAACTGTGAAAGGAGTTACAAGAGCCAGATGATATGATCTGATTAACTTCAAATCAAGCATTGCCAAAGCTGAACAATGTCATTGTCCTGCCAACTTACTGTTCATCCACCCCATCCACTGATGTATCCACAGTGCACAGAGTAGCATCCTGTTCTATCTCAATACCATCCTCCTCCTCAACCCCTGAATCAGGCACTTTCTCATTGAGGACTGTCGCCCCTGTTTCAGTCAATAACAAGCACTCCTCTTGGGCAGGGACACAGAAAACAGTAGAGAGCGCACACTTGTCTATTTCAAACCATGTATCAACAGGTACCCCATCTGTCACTGTTTCTGTCATCAGGATACTTTCCTCAACCTCCATTGGCTCCTTTGAATGGACTGTGAAATTCACAGCAGAGTCTGATGATGTCATACCCTCAGTGGTTGCCACCACCTGATTAACCTCAGTAATAGTTTCTGATGGGCTACTATTTGAGGAGGAGATGGCTATGGTAGAGGGCTCACAAATGATTTCCTGCTGCCCGTTCCTTCCATCTAGATCTAGGAGGTTTGGCTCAGGCCTGTCTAGACTGACTTCCTGAGGGATCATTGGTAATAGAGTCTCTTGTTCCTCACTGGCCTCGGAGGCTGGGAGATCTTCTGGGTTCAGAAAAGGGTCATCCTCATGGAAAGAGGGGATCAGGCGTTTCCTGAAGCGGGGGGCAGGCACAGGCACAGGTACTTCTGATGGCTCTTCTCCTGCCATCTGACTAATCTTAGCCAGCAGCAACATTTCCTCCTCAATGAGGCTTAGGTCCTCTCCAGTCTCTTTGGGGGGTTCCGTAGTGATTACGTGAGGGACCTTGGGACATGTAGTAGGTGTTCCAGGTTGAGAGGGCGGTAGAGGCCATGGGACCACTGAGCTGACAGAGACATCTTTCTCTGGGAGATCTTTCTCATCATCACCCTCCTTTGCTAGATGAGGCACGTCATTGGCTCCATTCTCTCTGGATGTCACCAGAATGCTATCTGAAGAAGTTGTTTCCATGGCGAGGATTAGTGGTTTTGGAATGTCTTCCTCTTTAGCATCAGTGTTAAAAGTCTCCTTTATTAAGCTAGATTTGCTGCTCTCTTGTGCCATTGCCTCATTATTGCTATTATTATCGGGTGGTGGAACAGTTTTCTTTTTGATTCGCTTTGGTGGAGCCAGGCAACTGGCAACAGGTGCCGTGTCTTGACTAACTCTGTCTGGGCCTACTTCCTGAAGAGGCACTGGAGGAGAGTTTTTTTTTTTTTTGCTGCGACGACGGGGAAGTGGCTCCAGTTCAATGGTTCCAGTAACAGGTCCTGCAGGAAGGGACCCCACTGATATGGCCTGCTGTGTGGACACACTATCAGGGCGGTTGACCTCATGTGGAGCAGGTGGTGGAGAAGAGAACACCTCTTGACTGTGAAACAGAGATATCAATGTTAGCCATCTGGCATGGCTACAATAGCAATTTCCCCAAAATGCGGACTGCCACACAATCCTCAACAACGCCACAGACAAAAGACAACGGTCAACAGCCAAGGCGTGGCAACAGTAAACATCAACACGGCAAGCTCACTATCAGCTATGTCCAACATTTCACTGGGTTCAGTTTCCAAGTTGTTTGCAATAACCTTTACTGTCACATGCAAATGCACATTCAGAGCACTAAAATCTAACAATTAAACTCTCTCCTCAGGCATGGTAGTAGACCGTACACAAAGATCTAAAAACCACAAGTTCATGTGAAATAACTTTACGAGAACTCTTTACAAGATCATTCAGTATAAGCAAAGAAAATACTGTACCACTCCAGATGCCTGAGTACAAAAACCCAGCCACAACCTGACAGAGCTCCATTCCTACTACATGAATACAATCTGTCTCGTTAAGCCATGCAGGAAAGTAGTGCAGAGAGTGACAGGAGCTCAGGCACTTACCCTGCATCCATGTACAACTCTGCTAGCCACACTGTGCCTATGTCCTCCTGCCCCATCTCAAACTCCAACTCATCTGAATCGCTGTCAGGCATGAACACTGTCTTGGTCTTTTCCTTGATTGTCTCTTTACAGGCTTTAGTGTAGTTAGCGATGGGGGTGGATTCATCTTTATTGTCCTCCAAGCACTCTTCATAAGCTATTTCATCCAGCTCTGCTTCTCTCAGTGGTGGGAAATCCTTTTTGTTTTCTACAGGTGGTAACACAGGTGGACGTACATCCTTCTCTGGTTTACCCTTCACAGTGTTCATCTCCTTCAGTGGTTCTCTGCTCTCCTTCAATAGTTCTGTGCTCTCCTTCAGTGGTTCTGTGCTCTCCTTCAGTGGTTCTGTGCTCTCCTTCAGTGGTTCTGTGCTCTCCTTCAATAGTTCTGTGCTCTCCTTCAGTAGTTCTGTGCTCTCCTTTAGTGGTTCTGTGCTCTCCTTTAGTGGTTCTGTGCTCTCCTTCAGTGGTTCTGTGCTTTCCTTCAGTGGTTCTGTGCTCTCCTTCAGTGGTTCTGTGCTCTCCTTTTGTGGTTCTGTGCACTCCTTCAGTGGTTCTGTGCTCTCCTTCAGTGGTTCTGTGCTCTCCTTCAGTGGTTCTGTGCTCTCCTTCAGTGGTTCTGTGCTCTCCTTTAGTGGTTCTGTGCTCTCCTTCAGTGGTTCTGTGCTCTCATTCAGTGGTTCTGTGCTCTCGTTTAGTGGTTCTGTGCTCTCCTTCAGTGGTTCTGTGCTCTCCTTCAGTGGTTCTGTGCTCTCCTTCAGTGGTTCTGTGCTCTCCTTTGGTTGTTCTGTGCTCTCATTCAGTGGTTCTGTGCTCTCGTTTAGTGGTTCTGTGCTCTCCTTCAGTGGTTCTGTGCTCTCCTTCAGTGGTTCTGTGCTCTCCTTCAGTGGTTCTGTGCTCTCCTTTAGTGGTTCTGTGCTCTCCTTTGGTTGTTCTGTGCTCTCCTTCAGTAGTTCTGTGCTCTCCTTCAGTGGTTCTGTGCTCTCCTTCAGTGGTTCTGTGCTCTCCTTTAGTGGTTCTGTGCTCTCCTTTGGTTGTTCTGTGCTCTCTTCCAGTGGTTTGTTAGTCTCTTTATGTGGTTTGGTAGACTCCTTCAGAGGTTTGACCTCTTGCTCAATTTTGGTGATTGGGTCCTTGACCATCTCTTGCTCCACAGCAGCTAAACACAAAGTCTCCACTAAGCTTAGCCTGCCAGTCTCTCCAGTTGTAGAGAGCGTTGTTTCATTCTTGTGGGTCAACTGGACCGGTGATGAGTCTGTGACCAGGACTGGGAGTTCCTCTAATGCATCAGAAAAGGCTTCAGGTGGTAGGATCTCAAACTCAGATGGAGAAAGTGGTCTTGAGTATGGCTTTCCTACCTCCTCATCATTAGACATCATTAGGCCAGATGGCTGAAGTATGGAAGTCACAGTCTCATAACTAGGGAATGGGGATATTTGAAAAAATATTTAGGGGATATTTGAACAACGTTTTTAGGTTACATGTACAGCAGGCATGGAAGATGCAGTTCTTTTTCAATAGACTTTGAGACATATTTCAAGGTGACATTGGACACCTACTACAATTCATATTTCCATCCAATCTTTAAACATGTACACTGAGTGTACAAAACATTAGGAACACCTTCCTAATATTGAATTACACCCCTTTTACCCTCAGAACAGCTTCAGTTCGTCAGGGCATGGACTCTACAAGGTGTCGAAAGCATTCCACAAGGATGCTGGCTCATGTTGACTCCAACGCTTCCCACAGTTGTGTCAAGTTGACTGGATGTTCTTTGGTTGGTGGGACCATTCTTGATACACACGGGAAACTGTTCAGCATGAAAAACCTAGCAGCGTTGCAGTTCTTGACACATTCAAACTGGTGTGCCTGGCACCTACTACCATACCCCGTTCCCCCATTCAAAGGCACTTAAATCACCATCTGAATGGCACACATTCACAATCCATGTCTCAATTGTCTCAAGGCTTAAAAATCCTTCTTTAACCTGTCTCCTCCCTTTCAGCTACACTGATTGAAGTGGATTTAACAAGAGACATCAATAAGGGTTCATAACTTTCACCTGATCAGTCTATGTCATGAAAAGAGCAGGTGTTCCTAATGTTTTGTACACTCAGTGTAGATTTTAAATCTTTAAAATTGGTTGAAACAAACGTTGTTATTTAAGCTTCGCATCTTATTGACGACATGTTTTCATAAGCAAAAGCTGTCGTTAACAAAATATACATATTTCAGATTCAGCCTCAGAGTCAAGAGTACTTAATGTCCCTAAAATGCCTGTGGCCATGCTGATCAAAGATGTCAAAGCTGAGCAAGCCTCGGTTGCCTGTCAGACTTACCCTCTGTACAGGGCACTCACTAACGCTCTCATGAAGACATCAACATCAAGACCCTCCTCCTGCACAGCTACAGGAACCTGCTCCAGCCTTCCCAAAACCTGCTCATCTTCCAACTCCTCTCTTGTACTTAAATCTGATGTGTCCACAGAACTTTTCTTTGACACTGGATCTAGATGATGCTCATTGTTGGCTTGTCCTGGGCCGACCACGGAGGAACCAGACTCACCTTCCATTTCTTCACTCTTAGTGTCGACAACAGCACATTTTTCCAGGTATAATTTCTTCTTCTTCTTAGGAAGGTGAATGGGGGTCTCCTCATTTGATGGTGTGTCAAATGCTACTGAACTGTCACAGTCAAAGTAAATGTCTGTTTCTCTATTTTCCTTGGAGGGAGATGGGATGGGAGTGTCCTCTAGGTAGTCAGTCATGTGGATCTCTGCTACAGATCCCTGTCCAGATGGGCTGCCACAGACAGATATGAAATGAGACACTTGATTGGACACTAGTCTGACACCAGAATCCATAGAGCAGGTGATGATTTCTACTAAGTGGAATATGACTAGTCTCCAGAAAAGTTATAGCCTAAACGCAGTGTTATTGGCACTTTTGGGTGAGCATTAAAACATGTATAAAATGTCAACGCCACCACAAACATGCATGTCTAGTGTAAATGTACCTCACACAGACACTTCATGCCAGGCCATGAGGAGTTTCACCCCCAGTAACTTACCCCGTTTGCGAGGTACTCTTTGTTGGCTCCAATGTGCTCATGCCTACTCCCTCTGCCCCCTTCTCCTTAGTTTTCTCCTCTAAAGCAGCCCATAGAGGCTGCTCTGCCTCTACAGCCCCCCTGCTAGGAGGACGCTTCATTTCGCATTGATCCTCTTCCTTTAAACCTGACTCTCCAGCTGGAGAAATGGCTGCTTCCAATGACACAAGCGTGTCTATCTGCAATGAGCGCTCCATGGTGGAGCTACCGAATACCTTTGTGGGGAGGTGCAGAGGGGGTGTAGACAGTGAAGTTGATGGTTCACTCTCTTTACCCTCCTCTACAATTGTCTCCTTGAGAAGTGATTCAGAAGACTGGGCTGTGGGCTCTGGGGTAGGTGGCATTCGGAACAGCTCTGATTCATCTGAGGTGATTTGCTTGTGCCCCTCATCTTTGCTAATGGCAGCTTCTGGCTTAACATCTTTGTCTGAGCTGAGAGGGCAAACGTATGGGAATTACATCAGTATTACTGTATAATTAGCCTACACACAGTGAATATTTACAGATCAGACACACTCAAAAGAACTGTAGGACATGGCCAGGCATCATCATACATTTGAACTATTGCCAATGATAACCACCAGACTATAATTCACACCTTTATGGTAAACTTTAACTGGGGTTTCTCTGAGGTAATCAATTACTCTCGGTGGTATAGAGATGCCTCCCTTCCACACTTACCCTGTCTCCAGTGATTCTACGTCTGGCACTAACATGTTCTCATCTACTTTCCCCTGTTCCTCTCTAAGGACTTCATCTTTGATCATCTCCTCTCCAGAGTCCTGCTCTGGTTTCTGATCCTTAGCTTTCTCCTCCAGGGCCTCCCAGAGTGGAACCTCTGCATGCGCCATTGCATCCTCAGCTATGGTCTCTAACGTAAAGCTGGATTGGATCATAGGTTCAACAACTTCATATTGAGGGGGTTCAGCCATATTGGGTGTCTCTAGGCTTTCTGGAGTGGCATCCATGGTTTTATCTATAGAAATATAATTAGTGCTATTTGATAGTAAATTTATTTCTATGGTTTTATCTACACTGACACTGCCTGACAAGGGAAATGTGTCTGCTTTTGATGACAGATGGTCAGAAGAACTGAAAGAGAGACAGAAGGTGAGATGGAACAGGATATGGAGTGGGACAGAGGAAGAGAGAGTTAGACAATAAACAGGTTGACAAGATTAAAGGACATTTCGTAGAGAGGAAACTGTTAATAAGATGTGCTCTCACTTACCGCTCTATCTGAACACAGTCAGAATCCCCTCTGTGTGCTTTGAAAATGCCTGCCTCCTCTTTCGTTGCATTCCATTCTGAACCATGTGACTCCTCTTTATTCTTGTTAGCTTTAACTTGAAGGGGGGCTGATTTGTGCCCATCAGCTTGTGATAATGAGGCCTTCTCATCCTGGGGTTGATGGCCCATCTGTTTCTTAGCCTCCTCTTTGGAGCCCTTAATCTCCTCAGCCCATGATGGCCTTTTTGCTTTGATTGGCTTTTTCTCCAGAGGAGGGAGCTCTTGAGTAGGAATACTGGATGGCTCAGCTGGTGTGGATGTAATACTGAGGGGACCTGCCTCCAGGGCAGCCATGTTTTTCATAATTTCCTTGTCTTCATCTGACTTGTTGAGGTCATATAAACAGGGAAAATCAGGTGTTGGCCTTTGTTTCTCCTGCTTCGTCTCCACAGGCTTCTCTTGGCCTTTGGCATGCTTCTCGGCTGCGTCTTCACACGTGATGTTTACAATCTCTGGAAGTGGCTTCGTGTCAACTGGCCTGTGCTCTATTTGGAGCTCCGTTGACGTCGGCATTTTTGAATATGGCACTCCAGTTGAATTTAAATCAGCTTCCTGTTCAACACTGAGGGACAGGGACACTGATGTCAAGGGTTTGAGCGTCAATGGAGATATTAGTCTCAGAAGTGGGTGTGTACGTGTGTGTATGTGTGTATATGTGTGTGTGAAGGAAAGAGGTGCTTTCAATAAACACATGAAGAGTGTCTGTGTAAAATAGCCAAGCATAATGTTTAGGCTAGTAAGGATGAGGATAAATCGTTACATAAGGATGAAAAACTAATTTTCGAAGAAACTGCCTTGAGAGGAAACAGTAGCACTGTCTGCTTGCTTTCAGAATGTCACACTTACCCTCCATTCAGATGTTCCATCTCAGTCTTCAAGGTGCTGAATGGTGACCTCTTTATTGTTTCCACTTTTGATGCTTCTTCATCTGCATTGTCCTCCAAATATAAGTTACCTGCCATGACTGATGGATCAGGTGTCTCTATGATTATGTCATCAAAGTCAAACTCAGGCTCAGCCAATGGTGGCTTGTCTGCACTAAAAGGTGTTTTGTCCAGGGTCGAGGGAGAGGAGTCCTCTGGCTTGGCAGGTTGATAAGGCACTTCCTTGGTCTCATTGGATGTCTTTTTAAAGTCAGGCTTCTTTTCAGCCAATGGCGGGTTATCAGCACTAAATGCTCCCAGGATGTTGGTAGAAGGCTCTTTAGGGATAGTGCTCTCTGGTGCTTCTGTCTCTAGGCTAGAGAAAGGCCATGGAGGAGGGAGCGCTGGAATAAGCCCTGCTGATTCAGAGACTTCTGTGGGCGTAGGGCCAGAGATACCAGTTGCTGGGCTGCCATCTTGCCCAGAACTGAGGAACAAAGATACTTGGTGTCAGAGCTCTGACGTCGAGAGCAGGGAGGTTGCTGGGCTTGCACAGCAGGCAGGTCACACACATCAGGGTCATGATTGGAAGCACACAGTGGTGTTAGGGAGGGTTGTGAGTCGTATAGAAATTATAGTAGCAGTAACAAGACAGAGATAGGGGATGAGTAATCATGTGTAGGGAAGCATGCTATGTAGCTGGGTATAAGACACTACAGACATACATTCCACTCTCATGCCACTCTTTACCACTCCTCCCTGTTTGAGGCCATAAATAGGCCTATTTCTGCCCTTTATGAGTCTACAGGGATTCATCAGTCAGTAAGTCACACTACAGCATGTCTCTGCAACATTGCTGTGAAGCTGAAAGGATGTCAATGATTTATTTCACTCCATTAAACACTTGCAGCCATTGGCAACCATTTTGAGGTTAGTCTCAAAATTATAGCAACCAATAGAGATGAAAAGGCCAAAGCTGTGTCAGAAAATCGTGAAAACTATTAATAAAACTTGGGGCTTTCAAAGTCAGTACAAACAAACCTCATGCATGTGCTTATCTCAAACTCACACCATACATTTTTCTCATGCTCATACTGTACCACATACGTACAGCTTAACAACCATATAACCTCTAACACTATATCACACCTCACCAACAGCATTTAAAAATTGAAGCGTGAGGTCCAAGCTGCGAAGTGGCTGTACGGTATACCATCACTAGGAACTCACCCTTTAATGGTACTGCAACCTTTCAACCCCACAGCTTTCTCTGACTCTGGTCGGCTCTCTCGGTCTCTCTCCAAGGATGCAGAGGCTTGATGGTTAGCGATCCGGATGGTGCCAGCAGTCCTGGGGGAGCGGAGAGACTCGTCCCCTCTGTTCAGGGCCAGGGGAAGGGTCTCACTGGAGACAGACAGGCTCTGCTGCTCTGACAGTTTCAGCCCTGGAGGGGTCGGGAACATAGACCAGTCAAACAAGGTTTCTTAGTTTTATGGGGAAAACTATATATTATGCTATAATACAATAGAGTAAATAATGTCTCACCAAGTGTAGAAGGACTGTGGTATTCCTCTTCTGTGAGAGTGTTTAACTCCCTCTGGATCTCTGTACAAAAGGCACACATAATGTCATGGGAATAACGTACAACATTTTTATTTACATTTAAACATTGCATTAGTTGGTACAGTATGGCATCGTTGACACTCAACAGTGCATGACATGATTCATAGGAACGTCTTGTCTGAACTAAGATTTTACTGGCAGCAGTAACAGAATGATCTACTCCACTGGAGCTGCAACGGAACGTGTCGTACTTTCTACTAGTCGGTTGGGCTCACTTGGGGTGACGATTTCTCAAAGTGATTTTTTTCAAGGTCTATGTCCCTAGAGTGGGAAAATGTGTGATAGCAGTGCAGCAATGGGAGCTTTCTCTGTTATCACTCTTTCTGTCATCCCACCAATGGTTTATTAAGCTGCCGCCGTGCAGTTCATTTTCTTTATGGAGAGCTCTCAGCTCTGTTTTGGAAGCGGTGCGTTGATGATATGCTCTTATCTATTCAGTTGTGGGGGTTTGGAGTTGGACACGCTCTGCTGTACGATAGACAGTTCAGTTTGAGTTGAGTCAGGTCTCTCTCTCTCTCTCTCTCTCTCTCTCTCCTTCTCCCCTATCTTGCTCTCCCTCCCTCTCCCCCCTCTCTCTCTCTCTCTCCCTCTCCCCTCTCTCTCCCTCTCTCTCCCTCTCCCTCTCCCTCCACACTCTCCCTCCCTCTCCCTCTCTCTCTCTCTCTCCCCCCTCTCCCCTCTCTCTCTCTCCCTCCCTTCTCCCCTCTCTCTCTCCCTCTCCTCTCTTTCTCTCTCCCTCTCCCCCCTCTCCCCTCTCTCTCTCCTCTCTCTCTCCCACTCCCCCTCTCCCCCCTCTCTCTCCTCCCCCCCTCTCCCCTCTCTCTCTCCCCCCTCTCTCCTCTCTCCCCCTCTCTCTCTCTCTCCCCTCTCTCTCTCCCTCTCCCCCTCTCCCCCCCTCCCCCTCTCTCTCCCCCCCCCTCCCCCCCTCTCTCTCTCCCCTCTCTATCTCCCTCTCCCTCTCCCCCCTCTCTCCCTCTTCTCTTCCATTCCCCTTGTGTTGGATATCAAGTGATCTGGAGCAGTAATCGCAATAGTCTTCCACTTCTATTTTCTATTAGTTTACAATTCTAAACTTGGTGAAAAAGGAATGGGAACAACATCAAATAAGGAACATTACATTTTCTTGCCCTCGGCTCGCAGGCCTGCTCCTGGAATATTGTGGTTGTCTCAGTCCTAGAATGGTTTTAATGATGAAACGAGACTGATGTCATAGACCTAGTTGCCCTCCCATGCCCTGATGGTATTCATGCTGTGAGACCTGTTGGTTTAGTACCTGACTGGGAGGCAGTGAGAGCTGCAGAAGGAGAGGCACGGACAGTAGCAGGAAGCAGAGGGACAGGCTTGGGTAGAGGGTCAGAGAGAGGGGCAACGACTTGGGCACGTTTACGGTGGTTGTTAGAGCGAGGAGAGGGAGGGTTGTGAGAGAAAATACATTTGACAGGAGGTGAGGACTTAGGGAAGGAGATGGAAGGAGGAGGACAGTGAGGGTCACACAGAGCATCCAGGTCTGGGCTAGTCAGCAGAGGGACAGGGGCCATGGAATCCCTAGGAGAGGGACAGGAATAGGAGGGGGACAGGCCAGAGCCAGAGGGGCCACTGGGGCCTGACACAGGCCTGGGCCTCCCCCACTCCCTCTGCCAGATGGAGGCTGAGAGCAGAGAGTTGATGAAGGGGATAGACACAGAGAGAGAGGGTGAATGGGGAGACAAAGATTTATGATTGTGTGTAAACAGAGTTAGTTAGTTCATCAACCAGCATTAAGAGTGAAGACACAGCAACAAGTAAGCTTTGGCTCACCCGCCAAGATAATACAACTGAAGAGAAGCAAGCTACACAAGCTATAACCACTGAAGTAAGTAACACAAAGTGATCAGCGCTAGCAATAGAATGTGTTTCCATACTTGGCGGAGTGTTGGGGAGCTGAGGTTTGGGGAGGGATGGTTCTGGCTGAGATAGGGCAGTAACAGTGTTTTTGTCTTGAGGAGATGCAGCAGAGGAAAAGATAGAGGGGGAGGACGGACGCTGATGAGTTGATACAATCTGAGGTCTGAAGACATTTGAGCGAGCTGCAGTAGAGGAAGAGAGGAAGAGAGGGAGGGTGGGCATCAGGCATAAAGGAGAACAGAGGACAGAAAAATGATAGTGTAAGAAAAACTACAGCATCAGACACTCAAACCGAGTCCAACTTAAAGACATAGAATGGCCAATGTGATAAGCAGGTGGCCTTTGACCTTCCATGCGTCTGCTACCTCTTTGTGGGTCGGAGGGTAGAGAGGGTTGATGAGAGAGGCCAGAGGCCAGGGGCTCAGCTGGTCTGAACTGGGGCCGATCGGGGGCCACTTGGCCAACACCCCGGGGCTTCAAGTCCACTGCAGGGCCACACAGAGCCCCCGGGAGCCTACTCAGAAAAGACACAGGCTCTAGGAGCAAGAAGAAAAGGAAAATAGGGAAGTTGCAGATATAGATAAATAGCAGAAACCAATGAGTGAGAGCGAGGACTTCTGCAAATAGGCATGCTGCATGACATGCTGTGATGTTACTTTTACTTTTTCTAAACCACAGTTTCCTGTTAATAATGCAGAGAACATTTCTGTTAACTTACAGTAACACTGGTATTCTCTTCAGAAAAAGTATTCAACACAAGCAAGCAGGTTCAAAAGCGTCACTGGTTGATGTTGCTAGTCATTTCTATGTTGCTCAAATCACCCTCATAAGACAGCCCAACCCCAGTTATTACTACACCATGCCCTTGCTGGGGGATACTTTTGTTGAGCAAAATTAAAAGGCAATTCATAAGCAATTCAGGGAGTTCCATCATGCAGATTGAGAAACAAGTGAAGCTTCATTAAGCATGTGTCAAGGCAGCATCATTCAGTCTATCTGTCTGGCTGCAGGTACCTGAGCCGCTGCTGGGACGGAAGATTTTGGGCAGTGCCGGTGGTTGATAGTGGGTAAAGGCAGGCAGTGAGGACACTGATGATACTGAGGGTGGTTGATAGTGGGTAAAGGCAGGCAGGGAGGACACTGATGATACTGAGGGTGGTTGATAGTGGGTAAAGGCAGGCAGTGAGGACACTGATGATACTGAGGGTGGTTGATAGCGGGTAAAGACTGGTACTGAGGGAACTGGGGGTCCTAGGGGCCTTGATGGCGCTGAGGCTGAGGGCACTGATGGAACTGAGGGCACTGATGGAACTGAGGTCACCAAGGGGAATGGGGGCACTGGTGGCCTGGGGGGCTCAGGGGAGGGTGGCACAGAGCGTGCATGTCTGGAGCGGGTTTGAGGACGGGGAGAGGGGGTCGGGGGGGTAGGCAGGGGGGGCCTTGAATGGAGGACAGGTGCAGTGCCAGCTTTGCCACTCTCTTTCCCACAGACTATGGGATAAAGAGGGGATGGAGAGAGGGAGGGAGGGAGAGGTAGATGGAGATGAGAAGAGTATAAATTGAAAAAGATGGAGAGGGGAGTGAAGGATGAAAAGACAAGCAAAGAAGTGGAATGATATGACAGGTTAAAAATGAAATGACTGTCATAAATCAGATACAGCTTTATAACTGACATCTCCAAGAAAACTAGCTAGCTGCTGCATAGCATAGACATTGTTTCTAAGTACTACTGTTACTCTTTATTACTTTCTTCTTGGCATTCCGGTATCTTTGGGGAAAGTATCTGATTCAATGGAACATTTGAAGATGTAATGTGGTGACTAATGTAAAATCATATCACATAGGATCCATCAGTTCTTTGTATTGTTACAATTGTCACTTGTATAGAAATCCTTGGATATGATTTTTCTTTCAAAATGATTTAAAATCATTTATACATGAGGTACTATGGTAGGATGATGGGAAAGGTGTCACAAAGGTGAAAACCAAAGGCTAGAACAAGATGAAGAACAAGAGGGAGAGAGGTAGGGTACCTATGACAGGGGGATGTTTTAGAGGAGAAGGCCTCCTTTCTGCGGGGCGCACTGGACGAGCAGGAGGAGCTGGCAGAGGAAGTGGAGAAAGAAAGCGTGAGAAGGAAAAAGTAGGGACAGGAGATGATATGTGATAGAAAAGTGAGGATGCCATCATTCAAGTCATGTGACAGAAAGGAAGGCAGAAAATAGAGAGATGTACAGCAGATATAGAGCATCAAAGAAGGTATGGTTTTATCTAATGATGTATGTATACGTTTATGGTTCAAGTATACCTGCGGCAGCTTTGCTAATGCTAGCTCCAGCACTGGACCTCCTGTCTTCCTCCTCATCGCTCTCATTGAAGTCGTCAAGGTTACCGATGTCTGTGGGTTTGACACTCATCAGACTGGCCAGACTCTGCATGTCTTCATCACTGTGGGAGAGTAACACAGCATTGTCACCTTGACAGATAATTATGTTATTACTGATGTTATTACTATAGTATGGGTGGTAATTATGAATCTAGTGGGATATTATGGGATGGACTCACGTGGCTTTCCCCTCTCTGAGAAACACACAGGACAGGGAGAGCTTCAGAGTTGCCTCCACCACCTTGACAGACAGGGGCTTCAGCTTCAATGTCAGGTCTTGCTGAGTGGGCGTGGCACTGGCAAACTTCTTCATATTCACGTCCACTGCAGCCAAGACCTTACGTTGACCCTTTGTCTCCTGCAAGGCAAGCAGCAGGAATACATTCATGAGCGGGCTTAAGTGGTACCTTTAGATTACCTTTAATGAACGTTCATATTTCAATGCTGTCTGTTATGAGCTACTGTAATTAGATTGAGGCGGAAAGTACACTCACACTCTCAATGACAAACGTCCAGTCTTTGTCTTCAAACACATCAGAATGGGGATCCTAGTGGATAAGTATAGAGATAGAATGAAAATAACAGAGAAATATGACACATATTACACAAATGTTTGTATGTTGTCAATTTACAATAGAAATGTCTAAAGATGAATTATCACAGAGACAAATAGCTCTGGAACAGTGTCCTCATGAACACCCATGGGGTGATATTTACCCTGAAGAGTGTGACAGAGATATCCACATTTTCAGGTACCGGCCACACCACCATCCCTCTGTATGGATTCTTGATGCCCGGCTGCCATCCATGAAGCTAGAGAGAGAAATCAAGAAATCAAGACTACATCAAAACATGATACAAGTTATGGAAATGCATCCCTGACATCCAAGTGGGATAAGAGATGTGCCGTTTATCTTTTAAGTAAAATTGGGTGAGTATTTACCTTGGAGCACATACGCCTATTTCTTCTGGTCCAAACCACTCTCACTTTATCTGGTTGCCTGAAATCATAGAAAAATGGTGATGCATCAAAACATGAGACAAGAGACCGTGAGAAAAGCAATACATTGTTTTGTAACTTCCTTACATTTTGCAGCATACGGGAAACTGTTGAGCATGAAAAACCGAGCAGCGTTGCAGTTCTTGACACACTCAAACCGGTGCGCCTGGCACCTACTACCATAACCCGTTCAAAGGGACTTCAATATTTTGTCTTTCCCATTCACCTTCTGAATGGCACACATTCACAATCCATTTCTCAATTGTCTCAAGGCTTAAAAATCCTTCTTTAACCTGTCTCCTCTCCTTCCTCTACACTGATAGAAGTGGATTTAACAGGTGACATCAATAAGGGATCATAGCTTTCACCTGTATTCACCTGGTCAGTCTATGTCATGGAAAGAGAAGGTGTTCCTAATATTTTGTACACTCAGCGTGTTTAACAAAAACACGCTCTAATACAAACACCAACACCAAGTTCTGTAATATTTGTTTGTTATGGAACAATTTTCTGAGAAGAACGAGGACTGCTCCCCCAGTCAGTTACTGGTGGTTTAGTTACAAAGTATGGTTTGATTTACACAAACAGATTAATGCAATGGAATCTAACAAATGTTATACAACAGATGAAGAAGAGGGTGGATAGCAGACATTAATGGGGATCTTGTGAGAGTCACATAATCACAATCAGCTGTCAATGCCCCAGGGGCTGGAAGAGACACAGTGTGTGTGTGTGTGTGTGTGTGTGTGTGTGTGTGTGTGTGTGTGTGTGTGTGTGTGTGTGTGTGTGTGTGTGTGTGTGTGTGTGTGTGTGCGTGTGTATGTGGACCAGAAGTCCCCACAAGAATAGTAAACTAACAAAATTTGACCAACTTGGGACATTTTGTTGGTCCCCACAAGGTCAAATGCTATTTCTAGGGGGTTTAGGGTTAAGGTTTGAATTAGTGTTAGGGTTAGAATTAGGTTTAGGGTTAGGGGCTAGGGTTAGTTTAGGATTAGGGTTAGGTTTAGGGTTAGGTTTTTGGGTTAGGGTTAAGGTTAAAGTTAGGGTTAGGGTAAGAGTACGGGTTAGGGTTAGGTTTAGGGTTAGGGGTTAGGGAAATTAGGATTTTGAATGGGACTGAATTGTGTGTCCACACAAGGTTAGCTGTACAAGACTGTGTGTGTGGACATGTGAAGCCATGGACCCTTGCTACTACGGTTCTATACTACACAACATATTGTAGCTTCGGTCTACACTTCCCTTACAAATGCCTTCCAGATACATCACTATTGAGAATGCCAAACATTGCCTCATACACATCATCCCAGTGGTACCGTATTAGCAATCCATTGGCATACCATGGTGACTACCTCATTTAACACTTGTGGACTAATTTGTAACATCACACGAACTTACGGAATACATCTCACACCCAGGCAAACTGAATTACTGTAAAACTTAATATGGTTTTCTATATGTCTATTGGTGAAATATCAGAAGTAAATGTTGGTATTTATTTTACATAACATAATAATGCATTCCTGAAATATGAATACATGAAATATGTCATTCACTTGAAAAACAAATGTTTGAGTGTTTGTCTGAGTCATTTCTGTTCTATCTTCCCTCAATATGTAACATTATACCAGTGTCGCACTGACTGGGAGAACATTTCAAACCATTGTTTTGTCCATTGTGTTTGTTAGACAGACGGTGAAGCGCTGGCTTCTGCAAAACAAGAAGAATGGAAGGAAACTGCACTAAGGCACGTGACCTGGCTCATTGCACTTTCTTGAGGGCTTTTCAGGGTGGGGTACCTAACAAGAGGAAGGAGCTATATTGCTCAATCACTTTTAACCTATAGTCCGAAGACCCTCCCACCATGATTTTTTTATGGTTTAAGTATCTCCTCCCTCTTTGTATAGCTTTATAATGTGTATCCGGAATACAGTTGAGCTGATTGCTCACTTACATTGCTTGTAAATTGTAATACAAGCAAACAGAAGGCTGTGTTTAATATATTTAACATATATTCGTAACGTATTGAAGTTCCTCTGTAAGAGACTCCTCACTAACACTAGAGAGCATTGGGCTAATGCAACCTGTTGAGGAGAACATAGAAAAGCAGGCCAAATTCAGTTCTGTCTCGGGTTACAGGCTTGTTATAGCTTCATAGCGGATGGGAGCCAAAAGGCATGTTTAGGTGGGGAGGGGGCTGGTTTGAAAGCATAGTGGCATCACAGGGCACAGAAATAGACTGGCAGACTGGGACAGGCAAACCCATTAGGACAGGAGAAAGCATGTCCATACTCCTTCTGAATAACCAGAGACCAATATGACTCACATCAAAAACCAGGCCGCTGTGTCATGCTCCAGCTGTCATAAACCCAACCAGAGGCAAGATTGATCCTTGGTTGAGTCTGAAGACTTTGACCCACCTGCTAACTAAAAGCTACAATCAATAGTGAGGCTGTCTCTCAAAAAATCTCCCCCTCATTGGTTATCATGTTAGAACAGCTTATGACAAAACATGAGATGGACAGTTCGATCACTCTTCATGTTTGTGTTATTATAAGTGATATCCAGTTCAACTATTGGGTGCAAGGCGCCAAGGATTATGTATGGACATTGTATCAGATTCAAACAGTCTTTGTTTAAGCCTACATCTTATCTACTAAGAAAGAATGATCTAACCACACTACTGTACAGTACACAATAGCGTATACTATTGCTCTGTTGCAACATGACTAGATAAGCAAGAACATGGCCATGGTTGGCAGGCCTGATTGCAAATGACATCATCGTTGTATAGCCTACTATGGTGCAACTCAGACACTCATTAAAAGATCTTAAAAGATCGCATTGAAAGATCTCCCTTACCATGGTTAATAGAAAAGAAAAGTGCTAACTAACTTTAGTATTCCGCTAAGAGTGAAGACACTGTTTTAATTTCATCAATCATTAGGCTATTGATGGAGGCTCTTCTCCTCTTTACTTAAGATCGAAGTAGGCAAAGGGTAATTGATGGCATCATGTCAACACTGATGACATCAACACAGGTCTCCTAATTAACAACACAAATGAATAAATACCAACAAATCCAAATCATAGTGAAAAAGAAAAGCTAAACGTTATATCACTCTGGAAAACAATTCCCCTGCTACCCAGTATCTGGTCGTGTCAGGGCATCATCATCATAATGATCCAGATCCTCCTGCCAGTTGAGTGGACTGAAGTAACGGCTGTCATTTATCAGTCTGACAGTGATGTTGTAAAAATGTACGCTGGGAGTCGGGAAGCAAGTACAGGGAGTGCGTTTAATGATAAATAAAACATGGCACAAAACAAGAGTAGCGTACAGACAGGAACAGAGTAACATAATCAATAATGCCTATGGAAGGAACCAAAGGGAGTGACATATATAGGGGAGGTAATCAGGAAGGTGATGGAGTCCAGGTGAGTCTGATGAGGCACTGGTGTGCGTAACGATGGTGACAGGTGTGCATAATAAAGAGCAGCCTGGTGACCTAGAGGCCAGAGGGGGAGTATACGTGACAGATGTATTGATGCGTATTGGGTGCATAAAAGCTACGTGGAAATGTAAAGGCTCGATAAGCTTCTGTTATTCATATTACTGTATCAAAGGAAACCAACCTGGGCTGTAATGCGGGACACTCCAATTAATATGATATGCTATGGTATGTATTCATCTGTGGATGTCCATCATCCATTTCGTCTGATATGTTACGAGTTGCAATTCGTTTAATATGCAACGAATTTGCTAAATGTATGATATGATACGAATTCCAATTTGTTGTGGCTAATGTTAGCTAGGTGGCTAACGCTAACGTTACCTAGGTGGCTAACGTTAGCTAGGATAGGGGTTAGGGGTTAAGGTTAGGGTTAGGAGTTAGGTTAAAGGGTTAATGTTAGGGGTAGGGTTAGCTAACCTGCAGTTGCAAAGCAGCTAAAAAGTAGTAAGTAGTTGCAAAGTAGCTAAAACGTTGTAGGTATACTGAACAAAATTATAAATTAACTATTTTACTGAGTTACAGTTCATATAAGGAAATCAGTCAATTGAAATAAATTCATTAGGCCCTAATCTATGGATTTCACATGACTGGGCAGGGGCACAGCCAATGCTCCCACTTGGGAGCGCATAGGCATTTTAGTAATTTAGCAGACGCTCTTATCCAGAGCGACTTACAATTAGTGAGTGCACACATTTTCATACTAGCCCCCCGTGGGAAACGAACCCACAACCCTGGCGTTGCAAGCGCCATGCTCTACCAACTGAGCTACAGGGGACACCCACTGGGAAGCCAGGCCCAGCCAATCAGAATCAGTTTTCCCCACAAAAGGGCTTTATTACAGACAGAAATACTCCTCAGTTTCACAGAAATACTCCTCAGTTTCATCAGCTGTCCGGGTGGCTGTTCTCAGATGATCCCGCAGGTGATGAAGCCAGATGTGAAGGTCCTGGGCTGGCGTGGGTACACGTGGTCTGCGGTTGTGAGGCCGGTTGGACGTACAGCAAATTCTCTAAAATGAAGTTCAAGGCGGCTTATGGTAGAGAAATTAACATTAAATTCTCTGGCAACAGCTCTGGTGGACATTCCTGCAGTCAGCATGCCAATTGCACGCTCCCTCAAAACTTGAGACGTCTTGTGGAATTGTATTGTGTGACCAAACGGCACATTTTAGGGTGGCCTTTTATTGTCCGCAATACAAAGTGAACCTGTGTAATGATCATGCTATTTAATTAGCTTCTTGATATGCCACATCTGTCAGGTGGATGGATTATCTTGGCAAATGATAAATGTTCACTAACAGGGATGTAAACAAATTTGTGCACAAAATTTGAGAGAAATACGTTTTTTTTGCGTGTATGGAAAAATTCTGGGATCTTTTATTTCAGCTCATGAAACATATTATATATTTTTTGTTCAGTATAGTTGCTATTTAGCTAAAATTGTCAGTGATGAGATTTGAACACGCAATCTTTGGGTTGCTGGACG